TTATCTTATAGACACTCATATTACATATTACACAAGAGATTATACAAGATAAAACTACTTCCATAACACAACATGGGGAACCTATCTATCAATCACTTACTTCTACAACAACATCTCAACAACAAAGAGGATTCCCCAAAGAGACTGGAGTTAATACGAGTAATAGTATATAGTATTATGATATTATACTCTATTGTTGTAGAAGTGCATACTTGGGGATTAGGTATAGATCAGGAACGTATAAGTGTTAGAGATGTTATTGGTAATAGAATACGAAGCGTAATATTATTATAATATCATTTAAGGTACTTTAAGGAGATTAGGATGGTCAATAGCAGATATTCCTACACCTAGTACACCATCTGAACAAGTGATATCATCAATAACTGTTACTATTATAATATTATTATTAGGTTATACCATTATTAGTACATGAGAAAAAGTCTAGTGGTGGAGGGACACTACCAATTGCATCATCATCAAGAAGGAGAGGTACAAGGAGAACAGCAACAACAAGAAGTCCTATGATGCCTTCTTAATGAACATTCAACTACCACTAACACTAGCATTAGCAGCAGCAGCAGTTGCAGTAGCAAGTTTGTTAATACTTAATGTTGCGTTCTACTTAGTATTGGCAATGCCTTATATCACCGATTCAAACCGTCATCACATTTAACTGCTCTATCTGAAGGCTCAGATCATCGTCATCAGTCTAGCTATAATAATTGATGGTATGATGTTTCCATGTATGGTGTTGTAAGTAGTTGTGGTAATAGTAGTAGGCACGGGAGCTTGTAAGTTTAGCCCTAGTCAGACCAACTAGGGCTCGTAGCCCATCATCCGGGCTCAGTCGTGGAAATAGTCGACCGTAGGACGTATATGTACAGAGCAGGCGTAAAGGGAGAGTCACAGTAGCTATAATGAGGTACTAACTGCAGACCTCCTACTACTACTACTACTACTACTACTACTAATCTTGCGCACTTGACTTGTCTTGGTGATTTCCTAACGGCCCCTAACGTTGCCTAATCTTCTTCATCATCATTGATTGTGGGTAGTAGCATCGGCAATCTAGGCCTACTACAATATAGTAATGGCAACAACAACAACACTACATCATCACCACCACCATCATCATCACGACAATACTAACCAGCAGGAAGAGGAGGAGGAGCAGAGGGGGGGAGGATACTATGATGATAATAAAGAAGAGAAGGGTAATAATAATCATATACAGTATGATGATATTATATCATCAACAACCTACTAGTGCAGCTACTTATCCTTCAGGACCTACTACTACTGCTACTGATGGTGTTGATTTATTATCATCATCTTCGTCGTCGTTGTCATCATCACTACTTGATTGTTGTAGTTATGATGATTTTATTATTGGTAAAACCTTGGGTACTGGATCATTCGGCAGAGTTAGATTTGTTACCAATAAGGCTACTCATAATCATTATGCTTTGAAAATACTTAAAAAAGCATCGATTATCAAACTTAAACAGGTAGTATAATAATATGTGTACATATCATTATTATTATACTTATTAGGTTGATCATATAATATCTGAGAAGAATATTCTTAAGAGAATACATCATCCAAATATAGTAAATCTATATGGATCATTCCAAGATAGAAGATATCTCTATTTAGCTATGGAGTAATATTATCATTATTATAACTAGTAATATTATTATTAACA